CAGCCTCCCTGCAGCATGTAGACATCAAGGGTGCCTTCTCCATTCCCTCTTTAGAAGGTACTGTGAGTGACACGATGCATCTGAGCTGAAAACATCGACACTGCCTCAGAGATCCATCTTTGTGTGGTGATATTTGTGAAAAGGCAGGTGAACTGCCTTTTAACTCGGTATGGAAATTGTAAATATTAACGTCAGAAACATGCCAAATTGCAAATAATAACAATCGCAGTAAAACAGAAGAAGGGATGGAAAACACCATAATTTAAAATCGAAAAATATGGATAATTGTTTGGTGCATGATTTAAAGAGCTCCGGACAGATTTCTTGTTGAATACCTAGGATTTCTGACTACAATTTGAAATTGCAGGCTGAAAATTCTCTACATTCAAAAAATAATAATTCATGATTTTGTCCTGGTCTAGCTCTGAGGCAAGAGAAGCACAGAGAAGCAGTGAGACTGAAAAAACTGTCCGAAATTCCCAAATTCCATTTCAGATCACATCCAAAGGACAAAACCGGTTTCTCCAGGTTTCCAAGACTGGTCTCCGGTGTACAAAAATAAAGATGATGCCTCTTGTGTGAATTACTACACGTCTTTAAGTATTTACTTTTTAAATATCTTACATAACATGAAAAGTCAAGACTAGACTTTCGATTAATTGAGAAAATCTGACTACATACAGTACATAGAACGAATAATTATCAGCTCTGTTCATTTTGGTTCTTACCATATTAGCAAAGTGCTCTTATGAAACCTTCATTACTAGATTTGTTCATACACATTTAAACGTATAGGATACTTACTCATAAAGATGTGTGTTTTAGGTGTCATTCCATGTTAACTTTGCACTTAGTAATAAAGACTACTGAACGTGCCATTCAACTATGCAAAACAAAGCTCCATATTTCCTGTAGCTGCCGAGTGTGCTAAACTAGTGCAAGACAGGCTGTAAATAATCATTAACGCAGCCTTAAAAGATTTGTGTCAATGATTTTTAGCCTTTCCCAAATTAAAACAAGAAGGAAGGTGTCAATGTTTTTCGGGTTATTGAGGTAGTGCTGTAAAGAAAAAAAATCAAGACCCAGGACTTCCAAGCGCAAAAATGACAAACAAAAAGTTAGCTATGTGTCTTCTTTGGAGACGTTTGAAATATAATCCGTCTGATGTACAGCCCACCAGGTTATCCCGGGGAACTGTTTTCACTGGGTCATCGCAACAAATATAATTATAAAAACATATTTGTATATATTTTATATGAATATAATTTTTATAATTCATATTTCTAAATCTGTTTAGATTAAATGGAGAGTTAATCATTTAATGAAGGTACAACCTCAGGTTTAAACGATGTCTGAATATACAGCTGATCGTCTTCATTCCACATGTATACTCATATACTGTACCACCACATACTGTATGTTTACACTAGGAAAGAAGCATAGAAACGTCTGCCTTATTGTTACTGGGGATCTTTTTCAGACGACACGGTGGTGCAGTGGTTCGCATTGGTTCCTCGCTGGGCGGGGACCCCGGCTTCAGTTCCTGGGGTGCTCTCTGGGGGGGAATGTGAATGTTCCCCCGAGCTCGCGTCAGTTTCCTCCGGGTGCTTCGCTTTCCTCCAGCAGTCCAAAGAAATACTTTGGTGGGCTAATTGGCTTGTGTTGAAATTGGCCCTGGCGTGAATGTTCGTGTCTGTGTGTGTGTCCTGTGATGGACTGGTACCCCGTCTTGGGGCTCCCCCGCGACCATGAACTCCAAGACGTTGTTAGAAGATGAATGAATGATATTTTATTTAATCCATTGAATTGAACGGGTTGTCCTGCCGCTTTTTATCCCGCGTGTAATCCTGCATTTTGTAATTGCCTGCCCTCTAATACAGTATAAAAAAGAGTTTACATTAGATAAATTTCTTTAACCGAATTTAAAAACAAAACCCGTTGTTGATACTGCGGTACGAGCTGAGGTGATTTAAACTCCCGCATTCTTCTCATTTCTTCCATAAACAAGAGAAAATAAGAAGATTACGATTTGTGTTCATTAGTAACAAGGAATTCCATTCATGAGCACACGCCTTTTCTTGGTATTTAATCTGAGCAGTAAACGGTGCAGGCGGCGCAATCACAACGGGGACCCGTCTAAACACGGACCCTGGACCTTAATCCTCGCATGTTTCACCACATTTGCGTGGCGATAAAGTTTTTATTTTTAAAAGTGGAATTCAACGAAGGACAAAATCTAAAATTCTCAGTTGGGCGTACAGGTGTAAAATGTAGTTTACATTTAAAAGTGTGGTGATCTAATTGACGAGACGTACAGTCCATGAACGACCGCAAAGAAGCGTGTGGGCATTACTTGCTGTATGTGGTATCTGCGGGATTGAAATACGCGAATCGTGCAATTCACGTCTCTGTGGGGAAAAGGGACAGGAAGGACAAAAACCTAAATCAGCAGCGGGTTTTTTTTTTTTAATCCGTCGCGGGCCGTCGGCACAATACGCGCGTTCATGCCACTTCACCTGTGCCACGGAAACACGAAGGTGGAGGCTCTCAGAAGGAAAATTGAAAGGGGGCTGTGTGAAAAAGCAGTCAAAATGACTAAAATAAAGACATTTTGTTTTCTGCGTCGCAAAAGAATAAGGGGGTGACGCGGGAACCCTGGGTTTATTCGGGCACTTGGTTTGCAAGCGCAGCGCTCCTGTGGAGGAACCGCAGCAACACTGAACAGTTCCGAGGAATTCGCCGCACCAGCGATCTCCTGAAGGAGGTCAGGTGATATTTACGCGGCCAACTGAAGACTTGTAGTGGCAATTGTAACAGGTGGACAAGAAGAGGGAGTATTTCATATCAAAAGGCGCTCCGAAGGGGTTTGCGGACGACTTTGGCGGAGTTTAAAGTCAGGAGGACGAACTGCGAACGAGTGAGCCGGCAACTTTAATTTGACTAAAGTGCATCACCCGAGTGTGCGATGTCCGGAGAGGGGGTGTGAGAGGGGACGATAAAATAATCAAATATCGGGATCCGGTTTCGCTGCAGGTTCAAGCCAAGGGGAACACAGGCGCCTTTGCTTCTTCGGGCAGGTTTCCGAGCAGAATGCTGAACCACACGGGCTGCTCGGAGTGCGAGGGGAACCGAACGCACAACGGGACGAGCGCCCCGGACGAAACCGTCACGCTGGTTTTCAGCGTCGTGCTGACTGCCCTGCTCGCCCTGGTGGTCTTTTCCTTGGGGTGTACCGTTGAGTTGGGCAAACTGTGGTTCCACCTCCGGCGCCCCTGGGGTATTTTGGTGGGGCTCGTTTGCCAGTTTGGTCTGATGCCCCTCACTGCGTACGCCCTCGCTGTTGGCTTCGCCGTGAAACCGGTGCAGGCTGTCGCCATCCTCATCATGGGCTGCTGTCCGGGGGGGACGATCTCCAACATTATCGCGTACTGGGTTGATGGAGACATGGACCTCAGGTGAGACATAGCTTTTGAGCTTTTTGTGAATTCTTCATTTGTACAGGTTTATCTAGTTATGCTTAAAAAGGATCAAATAAAAAGGCTCGTCTGTTTTTATGGAATATTTCTGTATATACGCCTAGGCGTGCAAAGGTGGGGTTATAAACGCTGTACAGTACATTGGTGGCTTCCTTTTAACTCGTTTTATATTGTTCTGATCAAGCGAACAAAAAAAAATCTAAATTCTGTGATCTATAGCTTTTGCATTTATTATTAGGAAAGATACCCGCCCCCATCCCCCTCCGCTTATATTAATTCCCGCTGGATCAAACTTTCTTCAATTAAAGGAAAACGCAGCATTTCATAAACCAGTATTTGGCTCTGTGGGAGATCAGGATTGGCAGGATATATTTATCTTTTCGGGTTAAATGTGATGGAAAACAGTAGTTCATCCATAGAGTGATTATATTCTCTATTTTGAAAAAGGAAACCTGAACTTTTTAAACTATTTTAGTTGTGCATGCCATATAGTTTCTGTGTTAAGCAGGTGGTATGTTTGGTGGAGGTGGGGGGACAACTGTGTATATCTGTAATAAATTCTATATCTTAATAAAGTCTTCTTTTTGACAACTGACGAATTCTCCACAGCCGAAACGTTGTGTCTCCTTTCTGTTCTTTTCACGTGGAAGAAAACTTCACCCGTTCCTTATCTTTAATAAATGTCTTCTTCCCGGGATTTTAAGATCCCTGTTTACCGAAAAACAGACAGAGAAAACCTTACTCCCAGTCTGTGCTCTTGTTAATGTGTTGTGGTGCTCTTTTACGCACAACACAACTAAAACAAAAAGGGCTACAAAGAGAAAACGTGAGTTTAAAGGGTGGCATATTGGCGCGGTGATAAGCACTGCTTCCTCGCAGCGCTGGGGCTCTGGGTTCTGTTTTGGACGTGGGGTGTTATCTGTGTGGAGTCTGTATGTTTCCTCCGCGTTTTTGTGAGTTTTCTTGGGGTGCTCCGGTTTCGTTCCCCAGTCCGGAAGCCCGCCCTGTGGCTCGCAGTGTAGGGGCGCTGGTCGGCGGCCAGTGAGAGTGTGGGTTCAAATCCACCTCTTTCAGAGGGCAGACTCATAGGTTAATTGCTGGGGCTAGAGTCTGTCGGTATGTGTGTGACCCGTGATGGACTGGCGTCCTGTCCCCCCTCCTTGCTTTTTGGGACAACAGGCGCCGGTTTCCCCGCGACCCCGCACTGGAAGAAGCGGTTAGAAAATGAACGGATGGACGTGACCTTAAAAGCTGTAAAGACTGGTCGAAAAGTCCGGACGTCTTTAAAATTCGAGTAATTAAACAGTTAACTTCAGAAATGGAAGCTTGTGTTTCAACATTCTGGTTCTCTTACACAGTGAGTGGCGGTTTTCGTTTACACGCCGTACCAGCCTGAAATTCTCGCTCCCTGTCTGTGGGATGTTCGTCGTGCCTGTTTTCTGCGCTCACTCAGGCGAGGGGAGACAATCTCTCCACACATTTTTTCGGCTGCAGTGGACAGAAGATTACAATGCGGATGCAGCTAATAAAACGGCTACAATCCATCCTTACAACGTTGAGCGTGATAATGTAAATACTTCATGGAAACATTCATAGAAGACCAAGGTGGCGGAAAATGCCGATTCTTTTAATACAGTTTTGATTCAGTATAGGAGGCTACCACATCCCAGAGTGCCGTGTACAAATTTAAATGATTTTACGATTTAAATGACATTTTTCTCGTAGTCGGTAATAATTCACCTGAAGAAGGCTCCACGGCCGAAACGTTGCGTTTTATTTCTTCTTTTTTTTCAGCATGGAATAAACCTATTACTTGTTCCTCTGCAGCCTACGCATGCTGACGCAGCCACCCACCTGAACTACTGTGTTTTAAGTAATACATATTTACCCGTTTATTTCAGCATTACCATGACCTGCTGCTCGACAGTTCTGGCTATGGGAATGATGCCTCTCTGTCTGTTCATCTACACACGCTCCTGGGTTGGCGAAGGCAACATTAAAATCCCCTTCTTTAACATAGGTGACGACCATTCATTTACCTCATGTCTCCAGCCCAGCTCTCTGCCTCGTTGAATGGAAATAGTAGAGGGGTCAGTATGTCTCTGGGACAGTGGTAGTGTGTGTGTGTGGGGGGGGTTAATTTCCTGTAACAACGAAAAATTGGAACAGTAAATTGCGGGAGTTCTTGACGGCTGTTGGGAATCAATCAAAATAAAAGAATCCACAGTTTCACACACCGATTCTAAATATACTGTATAATTCACAAGGCGTTGGTCGTACAGTATGTCATTAGAGTGTTTTGGAATGGAGACAGCTGTATGACGCCCTGATCTGTGTGTCTTGGAAAATGTCTCTTATAATTAGCTCTCCTAGATTATTACAATCAGTTCTAAGCGTTGTAGATACATAAGACTTCATTGATCCCGAAGAGAAATTGATGTGTTACAGCAATCTAGCCCAAAACAAGCAAAAAAACAGACATCAGAATAGACAAAAAATTAAAATACATACGGTAATAAAAAATAAATATAAAATATTAAATAAAAATAAATACATAGGTGTGTGCAAAACATGCTCGTAGTCACTGTAAAAACAGCAAAATATGTGCAAAATGTGCAAAGGTTTATACAGATTGAGTGTCCATAAAAAAAAGTACAATGGAGCAACATGCTGTCCATAGAGGAGCAAATGAAGGGCTAACAGTCCTAGCCTAGGGCAGCGTTATACACCCTGACAGCTGGAAAGACAGGAAAGACCTGTGGAAACACCGTAGCTGGAGCGGTCTGTTGCTAAAAGTGCTCCGCTGCCCAGTAACAGTCCCATGAAGCGGATGAGAGGTGTTGTTCATGATGGCTGTGAGCTTGGTCAGCATTCTCCTCTCAGCCACCACCTCCAGGGGCTCAAGGCTCAGCCCCAGCACAGAGCCAGCCTTCTTGATGAGTTTATTGAGCCTATTTGCATCTCTTGTCATGATGCTGCTGCCCCAGCACACAACAGCGTAGAAGATGGTCGCCTCCACCACTGATTCATAAAAAATGTGTAGCAGTGTTCCACACACACCAAAGGACCTGAGCCTCCTAAGAAAATAGTCGGCTTGCAATATGACTTGCCACTACAAATGTTTAATAAAACATGCCCAAAGATATGGAATTAGTGTTGAACTTTAACTTTAACTCAAGTCCCTAGAGTAGTGAGTAGACAATTGCTAACCAGCCGAACCTTTAGGAAGTTGCTGACTGTAGCTAGAAGAGCAGATTTTTGTATTATCAGGATTCTGTACCCTCAATACAGAGATACAGTGCACATTTTTCATTTAGCCAGCAGTAACTTTATCCAAAATTAAAAGTACACATCCACCATGACATGATGATATTAGGCAGACCAAGCAACGCAAAGGAAAGTATACAGTACATTTCCATATTTATTTTAAATACATTATGAAGAATCTTCAATCATCAGCTATTTTCATTTCTTAGCTGCAAATATGTCAGTATGTTGAACAGACATATATATGTACAGTATAGTCACACCAGAAGTAGGCGGGTCCCAGGAAAAGAGACGTATTAACACAGCTGTAAAGGTAAAATAGTGCTCTTCATTTATAGTGTCAGGCAAACAAAACCAACGCTTGTCTTGGAGTTTCTAGTTATATTTCTTCATTAATAGTTCCTCTCTGTGTAAGTACAAAAGTACAAACATGCAGCTAAGCTGCTTATATGCGTCACAACGTTTCCCTCTAAACCTCCTTCAGAGCTTACAAAGCTTACGAAAAAGCTCTTCCAATACAAAGTTTCCACAACTCAAATGTACGTTCCAGCCTCCGTGGTCGTCGGTCACTACTTTCTTCTCCACCCGATGCAGCACATTTTAGAGACTCTGCTCTCCGTTCCAGACAGCTGTTGGAAGCCTCTGCTTCCTAGTTTTCTAAATGCCTCCTGACAATTGGGCAGGAAGCCAAGGATGGCAGCTCATTCCCCACGGCCCTCTGGAGAATGTAGTGCAGACAAGAGCCGCCATCTTGTCTAAGTCTGCCATCCTATCAATATACACTGCCCTCCGAACCCTAGGCCACCACGTTACCTCCAGTTGTGTGGACAGAGGAGACCTAGATAAACCTTTATTCAGCTGATGGAGCTGCTAGAGTGTGAAAAGAAGTGAAGATGTAGCAAGACAGTGGCCATATGTTTATTTGCCAAATGCAAAAAAAGGAGTTCATCCGCAGAAAACAGATGAACTGTGGGAAATCTAAGACTGGCCAAGTCAATTAGATCTAAGCAACTGACCATGCTTTCTACAAGCTGAAAACAAGTGAAATCAGAACACCCCAGAGATGGAAAAGAACTCAAAGTGAGTGAGATGTGTGAGTTTGTGAGATTAGTGGGTGATGGATATCACACAGGATATTGCCTCATACAGATATGCAACCAAATACTGACCTTTACATTCAGAAATTTACCAAAAGTGAATATGCCCTAAAAATTATAGTCTCCTGAAATCGATAGGTTGAAGACAAAGAATGTATTTCTGATGCATGTGCCTTGCATGTTAGAGGTTTGGGGTTCGAACCCAGCTCTTGCCATGAGTTTAATCTATTTCCCTACGGGATTAATAAAGTATTATCTATCCATCTATTTGTTCTAATGTGATCAAATTAATGCATTCATTTTCCTCCAAAACATATTTGGCACTGGAGTGAGTGTTCACCAATACAATCTGCTTGACTATGAGGCAAGAATAACAGTTTTGACTATGCTGATTAATATGTCTAGAGGACATTGTAAACAAATGGTGTGACTCCCTATAGAGGTCTTTTTATCTAGTTTCTGAGCCAGTCTGTGTTTTTTCCCCCCCTGTCTCAGGAATTACTCTTGTTACCTTGATTGTTCCCGTGTGCTGTGGAGTCTTTGTCAATTATAAGTGGCCAAAGAAAGCACAGATCATCTTGAAGGTACTGTTCATTCCTTCTAGTAGTCACGCGAGATTGAAGGAGTCAATATGATTTGATTTCATTCATACAGTTTAACATAGAAGAACACACAAAAAACACTGCTACAAAATGTAGCTTCAGTAATTTCCCATTAGAGTCTCTTTCACAACGTCATCAAAAAATGAATAAAACAAGAGGGTTTGTAATCAGATATATTTGCATTGATTTGTTGTTTAGTTTTACAGCCTGGTCTTTTATTGCTTTTTTTTTGTGGTTTTAAATTCTTTGGGATTATTCTCTTAACACCTATCTGACGTTGAGAATATAAGAGGCATATTTTAACATTCTTAATTTGAAAACTGACAATAATCTTGCTTCCTATATGACAAAAAGATGGGTTTGTAGCCCATACGTTTTAAAGGTTAAGCACAAAGGCCTACAAGGCTATTTGGTAAAGTTAGAAATTAAGACTTTTGCACTTATGAGTCCAAACACAGTATTTCTATCCATATCCTGAACTGATCTGTATTCATGAGAGTTTATAATGATTAAGGACTCTTCCAAGTGTGAATAATAAAGTCTGTCTACATTCAGACTTAGTGCTGTACATTCCTTAGAGATAAGAGAGATTAGTCATATACAATTTCTTGTATTAAGAATTTGTCTTTTCACATACCCCAGCTTGCTCTCCATGAGACACACAGGCACACAGACAGGGAGAGAGAAACTGGGAGTCAGAGAGCAGGGTCAGCCATTTATACAGCACCCCTGGAGCAGATGGGGTTAAGGGCCTCGCTCAAGGACCCAATGGAGTAGGATTCCTCTGCTGGCTACCAGCAACCTTTCAGCCATATGAGCAGATCCTTAGCCACAGAGTGACCACACCACCCTTAGACAGCCTTCTTTCTCACAATGAGCAGCAGCTCCTGTGTTTTACTTTATCATGGCTTAGGCTAATCATCTCACAATACATGCAATGTAGAAAACGTAAACGAATAGCATGGCGTGTTAACTTTATTAACTCTATTAAACAGTCTTTAATAAAAAAACACAGTGAATATAATTCAAACAGACAGAGGGGATGAGTAACCAATATACAAGCAGTGTAATGAACGTTAAACTTCACAGTAGAGGCAACTGCACAGCTTCTTCTTCATTTGTAGAGGTGCAGGCTACCCAAGAGCTTCAAGTTCAGCCAAAAAATTAATTCAAACTCCCAAGAGCCCTTTTCACCAAAGACATTTTCTGTGGAACCTTGGGGGTCCCTGAAATTCCCTGTTTCCTCTTCAGGTGGGCACTGTCGTGGGTGGCGTACTCATCCTGGTGATCGGAATCGCCTCTGCTGTTCTGTATAAAGGCTCATGGGACACAGACACCTCCATGTTGGTAATTGGGATTATTTACCCCATGATCGGGTACGCAGCTGGGTTCATCACTGCTGCTGTTGTGAGACAACCCTGGAAAAGGTAAGGAACTGGCGTGTTTGTATTAGCTGACACAGGCAACTTGTCGCTTTGGTGTTCTGTCCTGATATGTATTATTATTCACTACATGTGTTAGGATGTTTAGCTGGCTGAAGGGAGATGGCGTGAGGCAACTCAAAAGTTAAATACCAGTGTGGGAACAATCTGTGTACAGACCTTGCAAGCATAGTTAGATGTACAATATATCCATCTTCCATTCTGTTTCTTTGCTGGATTAGTTTTTCACACAGCATTCCTGTAGGACCTGTAAGAAATATCTTAGGAGAGTTCATAAAAAACCTATAGTAATGTTTTCAATATCAGCAACTGAGATGACTTTATTACTGCTGATGTTGTGAGTGTGGTAGGCATTGCCTGAGACCATTTTCTGAAAGGTAAGAAAGAGAAGACTAACTAAGGGGTCCAGAATTGCTGATCTCTGCAGAAACATATCTTTGGGAATGTATACAGTACTTTTTCCATGGTTATTGATCTGCATTCCTCAGCTACCTCTGTTCCTGCCCTTATAGCTCCCCCCTGGCTAATCTCTCACAGAGTCTGCAGGCATGTGTTTCTCTTGACCAGACTGGTAATCATTCATCAACGCCAGCCTGTACTACAAGAATGTGTACACGCTAATCCTCACAAAACCCCTACACACTACCAAGTACGAGCTAGATGAGTCATTTATTGAATTTAAGGAATGCAGTCAGAACAAACTGTATCAACAGTTAAAATAACTGTAAACAGTAAGTTAAGACTTCCAAGAAGTGTGTAATCTAGTTTACAGCAAGATGAGAAAAGCTGAGAATAATTATGAACACCCCCGAATCACAAAGACTTTTACCTAAATGGAGGGAATCAGTAGACTTGAGTTTTGGGCTCTCCTGGCCAGCTTTTTCTAGCAACAAGCAGAAGGTAACCATTCTGCTCCACAGGAATTAAACACGAAAGTCCTGCCGAAAACAGGCTGAACCATGGGCATGGGGGGGCAAGAGGATGACAGTAGCCGGTAGATTGTTTGCTTCAGGCAATTCTGGTCCCACTTCAGAAGCATGCACTTGCGGTAGATGTGACTGCTCATTCTTTTCCGGCTCTGGAAAGGTGTTGTTACGGGAGCCGATTCTGACTCCCGTGAAGTGTGTTGTAAAGACCCTATGGGCGACGGAATAATCCGGAAGAGTCTGGAGA